CTGCGCATATTTTGTGTAAACCTTAGAGGGTTGAAAAAGGAAAGTCACGCCTACTTTAAAATTTAAATTGTGTCTTTTGTGGGGAGTGTCTTCTTACTGGTAAGATCAGTTTCTGACCGTTAAATTTAGTCAAAATCGCATCAGACTAAAAAAATATGCAAGACAGATAAATTCTGATACAAATAAACATAATCTTTTCTGTAGTTTATTTTTTCAGTGCCTATGTCTAGAAACCTCTTTTTATATTTTATTTTTCACGCACAACCTTCATATATTAATAGAACTTAAAAGAAAACGCTGGATCAGTGGGTCTAACATCAATTACGTCCCTAAAACTCATTAAGATGATTATAAGCATGGAATCTTCTGAAGTTTTCAACTCATTGTTTATAAATTATTGAGGAAAAATTTAGAGCTTATTTTGTTGACAACTATATGTTACGACTGTATTATTTGTGATAGATGTCGCAGAAGAAGTGCTAGACCTTTTACTTTCATGAATCTTTTGAAAAGTAACTTAGAATGAAAAATAAATTCCAACAAATACACACGTACAAAAAGGAAGAGCAGCCAGAGCTAAGTTTATGCAATCTTTTTTTTTTTTTTTTTTAAATCTGACTCAAAATCAGCTAATTATATTATTCAAAGTCAATATATACAAAAGTCAACGTAATTAATATTTCGAAAAATGCTCTAATTATATATAGAATAGTAACCCAATGTGTGTTTCATTTCAAAAAGCAATTAATTAAAAACAACGTGTAGTGTCTATCTTTCTTTTTCTTTTTTTTTTTTTGAAGGAACAACGTGTATTTTTTTATTTCATGTATTTTGCAATTTCCTGCTCTGTTTAGACAAAGAAGGGAAAAAAAATGAAATCTTTGTTAGTAGATTTTCTTGGGATTTCTGATTATGATGGTGCAATGGCGGGACTCAAAAAGGGGTTGTCTTTTGTTTAATTTGCTTAGGCCTTTGTTTTCACCTTTCATCTCTACATCCAACGCTTTGACACCGTTAACTGTGAATATAGTAACATTAACTAATGTGCATAATATTCAAAAATAAAAAAAAAAAAAAAAAAAAAAAAAAAAAAAAAACTAATGTGCATAATATGTTCAATAAGGTGTTGATAGAGCAATAGAGATCATAAAGATGCTAATATAAAACGACACTTCGAGATGATAACGGCATCAAGCTGGAAAAGAACTACCTCAAACGATATAAAAGAATGAAGCCTCTTGTTTAACTGGCTTAGTTCAGTTCAACTTAATTTAAATGGTAAGTACAGTTTGAATTCGTATTTGGTAAGCATGCAGTTCGAGTTATATTTTTCTTTTGAACTGAGTTAAACTATCTAACTATTTAAGTTTAATTCCCTCATTACGTTCAACCGTTCAAACCGTTTTTGACAGTAAAAAGATACTCACTCTCTCTGTTTTTCACACCTACCAAACACAAATTTAAGTTTTATTTTCTGTTCAAATTAAAATTTTAACTGCACATCTAAACGTCAATTCGAACCACTTTTTAAACAAACAGTTTGAATTATTTTGTCCAAATAAAAAATTCAAATCAATAAAATTCTAAAACGGGGCAAGAAAGGTGGGGAAGAGGAAGAGGAAGAAAATGTTTCCTTATAATTACATAATCATTTAGATAGTTGATACAAACCGACCTTAGCTCAGTTGGTAGAGCGGAGGACTGTAGTGGGTATATCCCGATAGAAATCCTTAGGTCGCTGGTTCGAATCCGGCAGGTCGGATTATTTTTTGCCTCTAAAAATAAGGAAAACGACATCAAAACTTAAAAACCATAGTAAAACAGGAAAACGACAACATGTAGTGGACGTAGGGAAACAACAACAAAAGTGAGAAAACAAGGTAATATAGGAAACGACAACAGAACTGGAAAAGCGGGAAATGAACGACAAACATGCTGATGTCAAATATAAAAGATGAACGACGAAGGGAAAAAGACGAGAACACCTCAAATTGTAGTTGTCGTTTACTATTTGAAAGAACATTTCGTCTAAAAAACACGTTTGATTCCTGCTATTTGTAATATTTTCTCCTAATTTTTCATGTTATCTCATTGTCTCAAGAAGGCTATATGGATCGCTCTCTCTCAATTCTTTCCTTTGTCCTTCTATTTTTATTATTTGAAACTTTCAAAGATTGATGTTTAGTATTTGAAAATTTAGGAAATTTTCTCTACTTGTTCTCAGGGGTCGCAATCAATATTATGAAAGTGGTTTTACAACAGACATTTTTTTTATGATATTTATCTGACAACGTTTTTTGCAGTTTGACGTTGCTGTGGTTCTTGCTATTATTGATATTTTTTTGAGTTCATTGTCGTTTTCACAAAGGCCCCGTGTACTTATGGTTCTTTTAGGCTATTCTCATTTTCCATGTTGTTCTCGTTTTCTCAATTATATGTCGTTCTCAGATTGTCATCGTTTTCGTTATTTTGGTGTTGGGTTTTATAGTTAGCGTCTTTTAGGTTATTGAAATTTTCATTTGGGTGTATCCATTTGGCCAGTGTATGTCCTTATATATATAACTGCCTGCCCCGTGTACTTATGGTTCTTTTAGGCTATTCTCATTTTCCATGTTGTTCTCGTTTTCTCAATTATATGTCGTTCTCAGATTGTCATCGTTTTCGTTATTTTGGTGTTGGGTTTTATAGTTAGCGTCTTTTAGGTTATTGAAATTTTCATTTGGGTGTATCCATTTGGCCAGTGTATGTCCTTATATATATAACTGCCTTTTTTTTTTTTTTTGTTTATCAGTTTGTGTCCTTTTAAATTACTGTCGTCCATTTGGCCAGTGTATGTCCTTATATATATAACTGTTCCTTTTTTTTTTTTTTTTTATCAGTTTGTGTCCTTTTAAATTACTGTCGTTTTCAAGATGTTATCGTTTCTTCCTCCTTGCTCTTGTTCAGTCCTTGTTTCTGATTTTATGGGAGTTTTTCTTTTACCGAGAAAAAAAAAACGACAGAAAATAAAAATAATGCATAACAACGAATTAATATATGCAAAGGAGTTAAGCATATCTGCCTATAAAAAAAATAAAAAAATAAAACGACAATAGAGCTGATAAACGAATTTAACTACTAAAAGATGATGTCGCTTTTATTAATGAGACTCAAAGATAAGAAGAAGAACGACAATGAAAGAGGAAAGCAATATTAGAACAAGGAAACGACAAAACAATAAATCTTTTAGAAAACGAGAACATGCTGATTACGTGAACAATCGAATTTAGAAAATGTACAAGAGAAACGAAACGACGAGAAAAGATTCAAACGATGATAAAACGTGAAAGCGTCAAGAAATAAGTAAACGCCAACATGATTTGAAACGGAAATAACGAGAGTAAACCAGCAGAAGTGGAAAGAGACGATGAACATGATAAACGACATAAAAAGGGGTAAACGACAACATGATAGCGTAGAATCAAGTCTGACGTAGCAACAAGAAAATGGCAAACGACACTTCCAAACGCCAATGGAATGAAAAGATACAAATTTGATACGACATTAAAAGGGTTAGATTAGGAGCACAGAATTATGCACGGCACAATGTAATGCCTCAACCCCATAGGGTCCACCTCACTGGATCTTCGGTAAAATCGAGTCTTATACTCGTTACTCATACGTACTATTTTTTCTGGGTACCTAACGGCCCTTAGGAATTTCTTCTCATCCCCAAACACTTGAACTCAAAACATCCATTCTTATAAGGTTCTTAAATCAAGCATTGGTACCAATTGATATTGTAACGCCTCAACCCTCCATGGGGTCCACTTAACGGGACCCCAGTATAGTTGGATTTTATACTCCTTACTCATACATACTATCCCCTTTGGGCACCTAATGGCCCTCAGGGATTTCTTTGCGTCCCCCAATACTTGAACTCAAGACCTCACTCTTTATAGGGCCATTTTAGTAAACTTGGACAATGACAACATAAGCTGCTGTGGAAAAGCAACCTCTAACCTGCTTCTTAAATTCTACTATGGGACAGCAGTTTTTAGAGGCTGTTAGACAAAAATAGTTTTGCCAAACACCCTGACTTGTTGCAGTTCTTAAAAAAAACTAATAGTAGCCTTTAAAAGCAATGCCAAACGGGCCCTCTCTGGGCACCTAGCGGTTTTTAGGAATTTCTTCTCGTCGCCCGACACTTGAACTCAAAACCTCCCTCCTTATAAGGTTCTTAAATCAAGCATTGGTACCAATTGATATTATAACGCCTCAACCCTCCATGGGATCTACTTAATGAGACCCTGACATAGTCAGTTTTATACTCGTTACTCATACGTACTGTCATCTTTGGGCACTTAATGGCCTTTAGGGATTTCTTCGCGTCTCCGAACACTTGAACCCAAAACCTCCCTCCTTATAGGGCCATTTTAGTAAACTTGGACAATGACAACATAAGCTGCTATGGAAAAGCAACCCCTAACATGCTTCTCAAATTCTGTTGTGGGGCAGTAGTTTTTAGAGGCTGTTAGACAAAAATGGTTTTGTCAAACACCCTGACTTGCTGTAGTTCTTAAAAAAAATTAAAAAACAGCTTGTAAAAGTAATGTCAAACGGATCCTTAGTATACCTTATACGATTTCATAATGGTACGTGGAAGGAATGAACCAGGTGTTGATGAAGAAAATCACTAAGGCCATCAGGAGAATGGTAACCAACGTGTTGCACAACTGAACATCCAACAGCTAGCGGAACTTGTAGCTACTACTGTGGGACAAGTGCTTCAATGTCAACGACAAGCCCAAGGTCACCAAGAAATTAGACCAAGGAACGATCCTAATGTTAGGAAGCAAAAACCCTATCTTTTCTCGCGACATTTAATAATTTAGATATTTTGAATAAATATTTTTATGTTATTATACTCAGATTATTAATTATATTTGGAGGTCGAGACTTTTCGTATTTTTCTATTGACTTATTGGTAATCAATAATTAAAAAAAAAAATCTGCAATTATTTCCGCATTTATTATCTTTAAATATTATTAAAGGTTAACACCTCCAAACTAGGGTTACTAGATTAGGGTGTTACACACAAATTTTTGATATCTTCTAACAGCAAAGTAATATTGACATAAGAAGATCCTCCTTCTTGTACTGCCCTCTTTGCAGCCTCCGCTAGCTTTTGAGCTCTTTTTCTGGTTTCTTCTCCATCATTCTCCGCATCCATGACCTTGTCAATAGCCTCCGTAATTTGGTCCCTCTTAACGAGCACCCCAAATTTCTGTTCATCCCCATTGTGGACAACCTTTTGCGCGCCAACACCCACACCGATCTTGGATATTTGTACGATGAATTTCTCATTGTAAAATTGCTCCGCGAACATAGGCCAAGTTACTAATGGCACGCCGGCACAAATTCCTTCTAGTGTCGAATTCCAACCACAATGTGTCAAGAACGCACCTATCGAAGGATGTGATAAAATTAGCACTTGTGGGGCCCAACCACGGATTAAAAGGCCTCGTCCTTTGACTCTCTCCTCAAACCCATCTTTCTTTAGCCACTTCTCAAATTCTTCACTCTTGTAGCCTCCTCTTATGACCCAAATGAATGGCCTCTTTGATTCCTCCAATCCCAAACCAAGCTCTACTTGTTGAGGAGGTATGAGGCGACTTAGACTTCCAAGACAAGCGTAAATGACCGATCGTGGACCCCACGAGTCTAGCCATTTCAAGTAGTACTCTTCTTCGTTATTGGAGGCCTTGAGGTTACCTCTCTGAGCCTTGTCCAAGTCATCGTCATTGCAAAACGACACCGGCCCAACGCACCACACTTTTTTTCCTGCCGTTTTGGTCGTTTTCTTGCATTCCTTGACGTACTCCAATTCCAACTCCTCAAAGCTATTAACCACAACCCCATATGCCCCTTCCTCGGCTTCAATGACTTTCTCACGCGTCAACTTGAAAAAATGGTGCGGGCCCGGATTGAAAGCTCCCGAGAGCTGAGCCCTCGTGATCTCGATTCGGTCGGGCAAGCCCGGAACGACAAAGGGCTCGGATTCAGAAACGACACTCTCGTGGACCTTGGACACGTGCAAGCTATGAATACATGAACCGGCAAAGCAACTCAGACCATCAAACACAATCCTAGGAACACCAAACTTGCTGGCAACATCAACGGACCACAGGACATTTTTGTCGGACACTATGCAGTTTGGCCTTGGTTTTAGCTCTTGGAACAATTGCTCAAACGGTTGCCGTAACAAGCCCAAGGCGTGCATGAAATTCTTTAACAGACTAAGGGATGGTAGAGTGTCTATGCTTTCGCACCCGTCGGGCAATTCGGCGTCGGAGTTTGGAAATTGGAGACGCAAAACTTGGATTGGGAGTCCGGATTCTATGTCACGGTCGATTATTGAGTTGAATCGAATGGCATTTAGAGGTGTGGTGACAATGGTGATGGTCACATTGCGTTTGGCTAGTAGTCTTGCTATGTCTATTAGGGGTATAAGGTGGCCTTGAGCCATAAAGGGTATAATCACAAAGTGAAGCTTTTTTTGGGTTTTTACTTGTGTAGCCATTGCGGAATTTTCGGTGGAAATGATGATGGCGAATTGGGAGACTACAAAAGCAGATATAAAGACGTGTTATATATATATATATATATATGATAATTATGTATATGTATTTATTTGATTGGCGAAGTAGCAATCTACTTTCCACGGGTGGTGGTTGAGTTGTGACGTAAGAGCATACATAACATAGACATGTAAATTACTTAGTCTAAAGCAAAAGAAAACATAGTACCCTATTCGGTCGGCTGAGCGAGGTTTTTTTTTTCTTTCAGTGGGGTATTGGGGTCACTATGAAAAATCTAGAGATAATATTTTATTAAAGATACAGTTATATTTTAGTAATTAAATGGAGGAACCATCATATATATATAAAACGAGGCACAATAATATATTTTAAGTATTCAATGTTCAATAAAGATAATAATTATAATTTCTCTTGTAATTAAAATAGATACATTATAACTTAAGTATAGGGGTACATGTTCCGCTAAATGTAATGCATGTTGGCTCTGTAATTGACTTTAGCCAATGGCTCAAGTATTATATATATCCAGACCACATCAACTTGCACTATCTTTGCTTCGACTTTCTAGTCCTACCATTTGAACAATTTACACCCGTCGTTCCCATCACTAAAACCAAAATGACTCTTGACTTCATACTAGAATTCCGACCTTAGGTTAGGATAATTTAATTTAAAAATACTTGAGATACCACTGATGTTCAGCACCATCAATAATATAAGATGAGCTTGAAGATCGCCATTTATTAATGGATGGTTCTGAGCATCATCGGTGCCAAATAGTATTGTTCAGCTAATTTTCCTAATTTTTTTAATCTTTGTATCCTCAATAAAGGGTTCTCAAACTGAAAATTTTGACGATTTAGTTAAGCACATCAATAATATAAGGTGAGCTCAACATTTAAAGATCAGCCTTTATTAGTAGATGGTTCAGCATCATTGGTGTCAAATAATATTGTTTGGCTAATTTTTCTAATTTTTTTTTGTCATTATATCTTCAATAAAAAATTTGCAAATTATCTTTTGTACCACATCTTTTGCTTGAATTGAGAACTAACTCATCAAATTTTTCAATTTGAGTACCAATATTTGAAAAGTAAAAATTGTTTAGAGATGTGTAACAATAATGAAAAATTACTAATAAAAAGAAAAAAAAATCTCTATTTATTGTGCCGGCCCATCGTGCTCAATAGGTCATGCTCTGCTTATGTCATATTTATACTTGTCGTCGTACCGTGTCATGTGAGGCTTCCATGCCAAAAACTATATATAAGACTGGCACGACTCACTTCCTCGTATTGTGCTAGGCCTATTGGTTCTCATTTTCCCTTGCCTAAAGTGGCTTTTCAATGCTTAAACGGTACTCCAAGATGGTACTCACCTTTCGAACCTATTGGATTTTTTTTTTTTTTGGGCTGAATTTCGAACCTATTGGTTTATTCCTATATGTTTCCATAAGAGTTTGTTGCATCAAGAAAGCGTGAAGAGATAAAGGTACTGAAACAGCAGAAGGCTTGGGAAAATAAAGGTACTAAGTAAGAGAAAAATACAACTTTCGAGAACGAGAAATTTATTCAAGCATACTTACTATATTATACAGACTCTGATGTTCTTCTATCTTCTAAAACTAGGAATTGAAGAGTGAAAGCTACTGAGGATCTATGAGCTTGTATTCAGCGTCTCTAATTTTACGATTTAGAAGTGATTTCAATTCGACGTGTCCTCTACAAACAAGGCTTCCTCTCTATTTATAGACTCTGAGGCGAACTTAAAGCCTCGGACTTTAAACATAATTTTTTCAAAAGATAAGACAAGTGAAGAGATAAGATTATTCACTTGACTGGATCGAGTTTTTCCTTTTATTGTGAAAGGTATAATCTCATATCAAGTTTTTCCTTTTATTGTGAAAGGTATAGGCTCCATTCTTTTCGCTGATTCGAGTTTAGAATTCGAGTTTTGTTACAATAAAAAGCTCTCAGAAACAGGCACATTTAACTTTTTTGTTACAGTAAAAAGCTCTCACACAACATCACATCTCAACTTGAATTAAAAACTCGAATTAGCGAACTGAACGGACCCATAATCTCGTGCCATGCTGTGCTTGGTTCAAAAAATTTTGTGACGTGCCATCGTACTTGATGGGCGGCCCGACCAATTGGCATGTATAAGTACAGGCACATGACGATCTGTATTAGTTGTACTGCATAGTCAAACATCAATTCTTTACACACACAAAAAAAAAGAAAAAGGACCACCGCTATATTAGTTGTACCGCTAATTAATTACCTTACCAAACTACTTACGTGATATGATAGCCTATAGAAAATGAAGAAATACTAATCTAATATCTTCTATTTTAGGCAATATATGATTTTCATTTATAAATTCATAATCTCAAAAGATTTACTCTCGAAATACATAACATAATATACCATCTTCGTCATATAAATATACATAATCTTTGGCTTTGGCTTTGGCTTTTCGTTTCTTTGTTTCGTCTCTTTTTCTTTCTGCTATATATCATGGCCGGCACAAACATATATATCCCTAAGAAGCTTAATCTTCCCTAGTTTATTATTTATTTATTTGTTAAAAGTTTAAGATTATTTATATAATTTATTCTTATTTAAGTCTAATCTTTTTTCTCAAAAACATTATGTAATTTTATGATTGAAAAATTCTTACATGAAGGTGGTCTTGGTCAGGGCAGGTGGAGTAGTTTGTCTATAGGGAGGAGCAAAACAGCCTCCTCCATACCAGGAGTTGTTCTTTAACTTATCTAAACCCCGATTCTACTATAATGCTGCTTTTGTAAGTTGTTATATTTGTTAATTATATTAGTTATTATTATTATCTTTTATTTTTCTCTTCATTAAGAGTAGAATAATTTTTCTTTCTTATTTCACTAGTCTATATAAACTTTGCTTTCAGTTGTATTTTATTTGGTTAAGCAATTCAATGAGAAACCCTAACCTCTATTTTTCTCCATAGAGTTCACATAGTATCAGAACACCTTTTTTCTTTTTGTTTAGTTTCAGAAATTTATTGCGATCTTGAATTATATATCTTGGCTTCCTTTCAGCTTTGGGATTCGATTGCGATTGTTACTTGAAGTTTGAGTTTGTGCTTTCCAATTTCTTATCGTTCTTGTTGTTTGCTGCATATTATTAAAAGAAAAGAAGAGATTTGCTTTGTTTGGATTTTTTGTGTGCATTGGGCTTTATGTCTTTCTTGGGCTTTCTCACGTTCATGGTGCAATTTGGATTCAATTTGCTCATGATTCAATAAAATTGGAGTTGGTTCTCGCTGCTTCATTTTCGCAAAGAAGAAAAAAAAAATTCATACGCTTCCGCTTCTGCTTTCTTGACTCTGATTTGAATTGTATCTCTGTTTATTATCTTCGTATTGTGATGGCTGGGGCTAGAGACGATTCTCTGCAGTCTATTAGTGTGCAATTGATGGCAAGAATTATTTGTATTGGAGTTATGTAATGAAGAATTTTTTGAAAGGTAAAAAGATGTGGGGTTATATCACATGCACTTCGGTCAGGCCTACTGATAAGAAGGCTACCGATTATGTAGATTTATCGGATGTTTGGGACGCAGATAATTCAAAAATTATTACTTGGATTAATAATTCTATTGTGCATTCGATAGGCACTCAGTTGGCGAAGTATGAGACTGCCAGGGAAGTTTGGGAGCATCTAGAAAGATTGTACACACAATCTAACTTTGCAAAACAATACCAGTTGGAGATGGATATTCATGCCCTTCAGCAGAAAAATATGAGCATTCAGGAATTTTATTCTGCTATGACCGACCTATGGGACCAGTTGGCACTTACAGAGTCAGAAGAGCTGCGGGCGTTTGCTCCTTATATTGCCCGAAGAGAAGAACAACGACTAGTTCAACTTATGATGGCGCTCCGTGATGATTTTGAGTGGCTGCGTGGGTCGATTTTGCATCACAGTCCACTTACTTCAGTGGATTTAGTGGTCAGTGAATTGTTGGCAGAAGAGATTCGCCTTAAGTCTCATGCAGGGAAAGGGATTGTTCCAAAATCCAATCTTTTTGTCTTCGCAACACCAACTCCTCAGCAACCGCCTCACAGTAATCAAAATAGGTTAAATTTGAGGGTTGCTCCTGATGAATGCAGTTTATGTAAACAGAAGGGTCATTGGAAGGCTCAGTGTCCTACGTTGTTGAATAGAGTCAAACAACTGCAGCACTAACAACAACAACAACCCCGACAACAACAACAACTGCAGCACTAACAACAACAACAACCCCGGCAACAACAAAAGCAACAGCTACCACTACCATTACAGGTTCCTCCAACGTGGAAGTCTGGAAATCAATCACAGTAGTGGCCTTTCAGGCCACCTCAGCCTAATACTATGATGGTTGCACCATCATTGGACCCTTATATGTTTGAGTAGTTTCAGAAGTTCCTTGCCACACAGCCGCATGCTATGTCTGCCTCTTCTCATATAGGTTTGTCACCCTCTGGTTCTTCAGGTATGTCTTCCTTGTGGGTCTTAGACTCTGGAGCCTCTCATCATATGTCACCTGATTTGTCATCCTTTGTTTCCTTATCTCCCAACTCTTATGTGTCAGTTATGATTGTTGATGGTACTCCTATGCCTTTAGCAGGTGTCGGTTCAATTGTCACACCTTGTTTGTCCCTCCCTGATGTTTATTACATTCCTAATCTTACTTTGAATCTTGTTTCTGTCAGTCAATTATGTGAATCTGGATACTTAGTTTTCTTTTCCTCCACTGATTGTTTTGTGCAGGACCTGCAATCTCAGAAGTTGATTGGGACCGGCCGTAGGCAAGGGGGACTCTATGTTTTGGATTAACCTTAAAGTACCAGAAGTTGCAGCTTCCAGTGTTGATTTGTCATCTTTTCATTTGAGTCGTTCATCTTCTGATTTTTATTTATGGCATTCTCATCTTGGTCATGTTTCAGCGTCTCGTTTACAGTTTTTAACTTCTACAGGAGCATTATGAAGTGTGAAAACTCATGATATTTCTTATTGT